GAGACATGACTTGAAAGATAAAGGTATGCCAAACGATGGGTGAGCGAGGTTAAACAAAAGTTCAAGGGTTCAACGGGCACTACAACTCCATGTGTCCAGTATTACCATATTGATGATGCCTGTCAACTGTCATGTGCATTAAAAGACAGTATATTATTATAAGATTCATTTTATTGTTAAATTAGGGAATTGACTTCAAGCTTTATTTATTTTCCCAAGCACCTGTAATCCATCCAACGAATACTTGTGTTTTTTTGTTAATGCGAAGTCATTATCTCTATATTTCTTGATATGGTCCATTGAATCACTAGTTATTAGATTTTCCCCACAAACTAGAGAAAAAACGACAGCAACCGTAAATCATGTAATTTAAACAATATGCATGCCTTTACAACTGGTGTATTCTACATAGCTAGGAAAATATATGTACCTTATTATATTATCTTTACTATTTGTGCTTACTAATCGTATGTGTAATTTATCGAATTGATGGTGCCTGTAAACTGGCATCCCTCATGTACAAAAATGAGAATATACATATTATCATTATTAAAACAAAACCGTGTTTGTCTCGCAACCTAGCTGTTGGGGATATCCCCTGAAAGCTGTTACACTCACCAAGTTTATATGGATTCCTAGACAACATAAAGCTTTCTCGATATCCACTTCTCTGAGAACCTTTCGTCGTAAATGATTGCGTTTTACTCTCAGACTTCTCTATTCTAGGGGTGGGATGCAATATACTGGCAAACTTGCTCATAGCTTGATTGACACTTCCTTTTACGAGTTTCAGAATATCATTGAACTTTGGCTCAATACCTTCATCCTCTATACCAGAGCTCACCTTCACCCATTTCCTTTGAAGTCGAGTAGGTAGGCGTCTGGCTATCACCTCTCGGACGGAACTTGAGGTCAGATCGCTCATGCAATTCATCGAAATCAATGTATTCTTGTAAGTCATCAGATTATCCGAAAACTCAGAGAGTGACTTGGAGTCATCTCGTAATTAACTACCATCACCCTTAACAGCCCCGAATACGCTCCATACAATCATCGAAGGTATTCCGAATCTGAGTATCCTTCGCCTGGCTTCATAAACTTACAGAACTGGTGTCAATGTAGTTGAAGATTGAACGATCAATTCATGGTTGTTTGCTCAAAATGAACTTCCCCAATTTTCGCGGAGGCATCAATACGACAGTCATCGTCTCATCGGTCGCTGTTCAGAAAGAAGTCAGCAATAAACCGTCAGAAGTAATATTGTGATTTATTATTGTAATATTTGTTCACAGACCTTAGTGGAATTATTTTTTGTATGTTGGTGTTACAAAAAAAGAATTCTCAAGCGGCCAATCGGTGTTTTGGTTTTCACGTCCGTTATTATTAAGCGTTTCTGAGAAACTTCAAGGAACAGCGTCAGCCCGAGCGTAGCAAGAGCTGGGCATGAACGGTTTACGAGACGTGGCTGACAACTGGAGTTGCTTGAAGAGCTATCCGGTGCAATACTTCAACAAATACATCAACTTCAATTCATAATTTATTGCAAGCCCACTCAACATGACTTAAACGACTTCACAAACTGTGGATAGTCAGCTGGGTTTCCGTCAAAGTACCGTGGCTCGAATTTAGTTAATTTAAACCCTTAATATCCCTAAGTGGCGAACCATGGACTACAGACTCATCATGCTGATCATAATACATATCATCACAATTAACAGGCAACTCATCACCACTTACTTTCCTGCTTGCTTCCAAGACGCTTCGTAAGAACCCATCACTTATTTCTAAAACGCACCATACATTAGAACGCTAAAACGCTCAGACTCACTAATACACATTATGACACTAAATAAACTCTAAGACTTCGCATAAATACGTGAAAACACAACTGAAACGTAAATTTTTACTAATGTATAATATACAGTTGACATAAACATTTATAAGTGCATAAAATATTAATCTCCTTTCCATTTTCACATAGTTTCTCTTTCTGTTATTCTGCTGCTCCTATTCATCTTCTGGTCGAGGTCGAAAAACCCTGCATCTAAACTGAAATGAGGATTAATTCCAAACCATTTATCTCACATTCACTCAAATTCCACGAACGATCCAATTCTACCATTTGAAGACGCTGGCGAACATGCTGTAAATGAGTATTCATGATCTGAAATGAAGAAGCAACTGGTTTTCAAACAGTTTTCAACATTTTTCTGAACTTACGAATACAGTCCGCCATGCAGACACAAATGGAGCAAATGGAGAATTCTGGAATCGACCTCGGCACCATTTGATGCAGTAAAACAACTTAATATGACCTTATCTAGTTTTCGCATCCACGATCAAATTTCTTTCCTGTTATGAAACTACGATAAGACTACTGAAAAATGGAATAAATATATCAATGATCTCAACATAATACATCAATAATCTTTAAGCCAATGGTGCTGTTCACAACAAAGTTATATAGGAGAATTGACTTCAAGATTTTTCCCCAGATATTTGGATTACATTCATCTGATGTCTGGGTTTTTTGTTTATGCGAAGGCAATATCTCTATATCCCTTTACGTATTACACAAACAGGCTTTATAGCAGACTGTTCCGACTGAACTAATGTCAGAAAGAACAACCAAACTGTAAATTCACCATACATCAAATTATGTGTAATTTCTATGATAACTTATCCATGCCTGTACAATTGGTATGTTCCTGCGTAAACAGGAAGAAATATATATTATATTATTATTATTTCTTTGACCCAGGCATCATCGAACTTGATCAAAATTCCAGAAAAGTTCCAGTTAATACTTGTCCAAAGAAGACTTGCAGGCACCAGGAGAGACGAACGATACTATCAGAAACTGTCAGCCAACTCTCACAAACTGTCAATGTCCAGCTCTTACTACGCTGGACCTCACGCTGTCCCTCGAAGACTTTCAGAAACACTTTGTATTAACCAGAGCGAAAACCAGAACGCTGATTGACGACTCAAGAACCCTTTATCCTTACGCCAATATGTAACCAACAGTAAGGCTATTACACAAGGTTTTTGATGGTATTTTGTCTTCCTCTGAACAGCGAACGATGAGACGATGACTGCTGGATTGATGACTCCCGCGAAAAATATGGAGGAGTTGGGTTTGAGCAAACAACCATGAATTGATCATTCAATCTTCAACTACATTGACAGCATGGAATACCCATTTTTGTGGAAGTCTAACTCACTCCGGCCACATATGTCACAAAATGATTTTACTTATTGAAAGTTTAAGAAACACGACTGTAGAGTCCGGAAAAACAATGGCCAACTGCCGAAAGAATCTCTCCCGACTGAGGCATGGAAGGCAGCCTGGAACTCTTTTGGAGTCTACGTTTCCTAACCATCTAATCAGACCAATTTACTACGTAAATTACTATAATCGCCACTCCTCTTGTCTTCTAGACACTCGCAATGTAACATTAAAAATAGATAAGACTGTTGAAGGTGTAATATATCGAGACATTGTAATCATAGAGCCGATCAACACTGATTTTTACGTAAATACACCTATGAATAGCTCTAAATTTAACATCTCCCCTCGTTTTGGGGACAGTTAATATTCACGGCGAACAAACGATAAACGGAAAAACCAACACAAATGCACACCAACCTAAAGAGATTAGAATGCCAGTTAAAATCACTGATCACTCTACACACATCAAAGTTACGAAGATTCAATGTAATTTACAAAGAAGCGCTTCTGAATAGGCTTGTGACTTTCCTGTCATAATCCAATCAGAGGATATTAAGGTGAAATCACAGAAATTTATCAAGACTGGCCGCCATGGCTGCTGACTAAATAAATGAAAATCCAGACATTAATCAGAAACCAAAGTCGTTTCAGGACGACTATCTAGAACTATCTAATGCTTACGGTGTAGTACTACACAAAACAAGTAATGTAATAGAAGACACGTGACTGGCTGTTGTTTTTGGGGTGCATTTGTCTCTCAATGGTTTTGGAAAGGTCGCACGTAGGATCATTCATCCAGCGTGCACTGATCTAGTAAAAATGGTAGCTAATGAAGGGTTTTGTGCTTCAACTTAGCTAGGTGTACAGCAACCAGAAGAGTACTTTACAGTTGTTTCTTGATGGCACAGTGGTTAGGACTCTCGCCGACCATGCACATGGTCCGGGGTTCGAGCCCACGCCGACGCACACCTGATATCTATGGTCGGCCTGCGAAATTTGGGCTACCGATATCCATGCTGAAAATTCCATACCTGTACCAAAATTATGGTGTGGAATCAAGCTGTAATCAAAAATAAAAAATAAAATAAAATAAATAAAATAAATATTTGACTCAAGCCACTTGTATCGTTTTGAACTATCAGCATATCTATGTTTAAGTTTATGAAAAAGAGTTGTTAGGATTTTCGTTTGACAGCATGCCCTCTTGTTCTTATGAAGTATTGCAGGTCCAGAAACTGCTCAGTGCAATATTTATTAGTGAACCCACAGTCGTAAAAAATTGGTGGATGGTGGCTAGCAGTGGAATCCAGGATGTGCATTTCGTCCTATTTGGGACTCGTCAGCTAGATGTACCTGCATTTCTCAGTGAGTGATGATGTTCCCACCGAGGCTCGAACCCAGTGCCCGTAGTTTCAAACTCCAAAGCGTTATCCACTAGACCACTTGGGCCACCACCACCAGTTGTATTCTAATTAAATGCCCAGACATCGTTGAAGCATCTTCACAAGAAGCCGACATGTCAACCTAAGACCGAGCACTTCAGTCCAATCAATCGACGGGAAAGTCAAAAACTCATTTCCACAGTCGTAATGATTATCTCTTACATCCGAAAGTATTTACCCGGTCCCATCCAGTGACCTGTGAAGTTGCCTGCAAGTTCCTATCCAATGAATTTGTGTCAAGGCCCAGTGATACTCCACATGACTCGCTTTCATTTCTCTGATATACACAACGAATTAACCAGTCAAGAATGCATTATAATATGATATAAGATTCTTAGATATTTCTAAGCCATCAAAAATGCATGAGTAATCTTAAGGAATAAAAGACTTCGGAATTCTTTCTTAAAAGTTTGTTTTAACTAACCGGATTGATTTTTTTTGTGAACTATTAGCGCGGTTTATGACTGTCTAGGCGTCGTTCTGGATGGTTTTAGGGGACTCTGATTGAACTTATGGACGTATCCAGTAGAGATACGAGCGATTATTATGATGAGTATTCCGATGGACCTATATCAGTTCCCCAACCAAGATATGATCCTTATTTCACACGGAATGTAAGGATCATTGACGACCTTCTAGTCGATGAAAAACGTTATCACACAACACCGGGATTTTGTGTTTCTCAACCCCTGCGAGAAAGACATGGATGAGGCGCTCTCTTCTCAACTGGCTAAGAGATGTAGGTTGATGCGTTTGGTTTAATAAATATCAGATCTGTATACATCGTGGAACAGATGGTGAGGTTCTAGCACATGCAACGCAACTAATTGACCGTTATATGCACATAGTCCCTACTGAACAAGATGAATATCAGCTAGTGGGAGCTACTTGCTTTTTTATTTCCAGTAAACTGAAGGAAACCATACCTATTAGTTTGAGGAAGGTAACTGAGTACACAGCAAACTCACTAACGGAACAAGATGTATTGGTAAGATATCACCCAAATGATGTAATTTTCAGGCTAAGGAATTGACTATTTGTATATCTCTCATGTGGGACCTAAATTGTATTACTCCAGTAGACTTCATCGCCCCTGTCGTCGAATACCTTGATTTCGCACCAAGTTTGCGTCAGATAATCCGCCAAGCTGCTCTTTGTATCTACGTTAAAGCTTTTCATGGTAAGAAACAATTGTTTTGATTTGTTGTATCAGGTTTATCTGCCTTTTATCTCAGGCCCTTAGAACTCCGTATTAATTTATACTTGATTTATGATACTGCGTAATATTTGCGAAAATTTATGTATTGAAATCTAGTTACAAGTAGGTCTCAGTAACTGTAGTATAACCAAAAAAATTATTGCCACTTTTCTGGCGAAGCCATACGTTATGTTAACTTCAAATCGTTTCCTGGTGACTTATCAGTAGCGAGATAAACTTAATATTTCTACTACATTTCCGCACAGGGCTCATATTAAGATGTTCAGTAACAAATCTACAAGTAGATATCGGTTCTGGAGTATTTTCTCGACACTACAATATTCCTCAAAATTAAAAATGTCAGTAGGCAAGATTTTGTTAGAAAAATAGGAAAAACAATTTAACGGAAGTCCGGTGGTAAAATTACCGGTGAGTGCATACATCAGGGGTAGGTTGAAGATGAAGTCTCCTAGCCTTCGCTAGTTCTTTCCTACCAAGTACTTGCGATTATCCAATCTCTTACCAAGATTTATGAATCTTGATGTCTGTGAAGCATTTTCGTTGAGAGTGCATTATATGAAGACGTACCTATTATTGACCACAGGTTTTTGCGTTCTATCTCGCTTATCAAGTGGTGATACATGCTATGCATTATGGAGTCTAAATGTAGAGTGCTAGATATGAAGGTTAAGTGGACAAACAACACTGAAAACTCACCGATTGTCATGGCTGGAACACGTGTAAAACACCATTTCCCTCCAGCAATATTTGCTGGTGATCCAGTGAAAGCCAGACTTTAAGGCACTTAGAGAAGTGTAAATCTCTTGGAGTCCTCAAGAAACTTGCGACCAATGGCTTGAATATGTTAATGATATGGCTTAACATCGCTCCTGAGAGCGTAGGTGCATTCACTCTAATCTCCCAGATACAATAAGTCCTCATGTTTCTGTATTGCTATTCCTAATCCCACGTTTTTCTTTTTTGAATCTTTCTTTCTACGTTTCGTGAGTTACACAGTGTGTGGCAACTTCGAATGCTGCACTTCTACTCAAACCTGGATGTTGGAGTGGCCAGCAGTTGGTTAGGCAGCTATTAAATATTCAGGTTACTCGTTGCCGGATCACTGTCTATGTATTGTATGTAGTGTCTCAGTTTCGTGTGCCCTACTCATTTTGGTTTTAAATCTACAGCTCATATTTTTGAGTTTAAACATTACTATATGTTTGTAGGTTACATAAGTAACTTCGTGTTGTATTTTTAAATTTTCTTATAGAGAATACCCATTAAAATGTGTAGTGGAAGAGAGAAGTGGTCTTGCAAAATACACTTAGACGGACTCCCGCGACACTTGTTACTAATGGTGTTTCTTTAATCCAGCGTGGAAAATATCACAACTGTCGTATCCGTTTGGCATTCAATGGGAAGTCGGCCAGTGCGCTAACAAAGATCTCATTTTAATAGTAACCTCAGTCAGTAGGTAGATGTAACCAGACTACAAAAGATGTCATCTTGGTTTCTGCAAGGATTCCAGTGTACGATGCTGCGACTAGTCCACAACTGTTGAACAAATGTAGAGCTCTGAAATTCCGGAACTCGGTTACTTTAGATGTAGAACAAGTTTTGACACCAGCCGCTTCCCTGAAGTTTGTAATTCGTCTAAATTATCGCATCGTTTTCCTCTCATAGGTTAGAGCACATTGCATACTTATGCGGTTTTACTCTGTGTAACAGCATTCGCACCTCGCGCTTCAATACAAACAACGCGCTTACCATATTTCGGGGATAGTCATAATATGCATTGTGGTCTTTCAATAGAAGCGATCTCTATTGTCGTGTGGTAGGTCATAACGTATTAACCCGCTTAACAGGCTATCGAATATCTCGCTTCTTCTGCGAATGGCATAATCCGACTAGGTTCCGTCAGTCCTTTTGTACTCATATGAGGACTTCACCCATCAATTCACAATAAGACTAACTCCAGTAGAAGCGAAATAATGCCATCAGCCTGTTATTTCTGAGTATTTAAACGAGATAACAATGTCAATCATTTCTGAAATAATAATTAACTGTAGAAAATGTATTTGGCGTGGAACCTTCGGCAAAAAATATAATTGTGTATTCTTTGCATGGGCATGTGGTCATGTTCTATGATGTGGTTACGCGTGGATATCTGGTTAGTTTATTCAAACTAGTCTTAAACATCCTGAGCTTTAACTAAGCGTCATTTTTAAATGATTTCCTGTACTGTGGACGTTATAATCTGTGCAGTGGTCTTAAATGTCGATCCATTCAGCTACTAAACCGATTTCGCGGCTTTTCGAACTTCACGAAGCTTGAAATCTATATGGATTCGTATTTAGCCTGCCACGAATCAGCAGACAAATAAGGCGTTGAGGCTAACTCAATTGTGCCTCCATTTCGCTCTTTATTTCACTTGCATTACATGTGCATCAGCTTTCTGATTAGTAGCTCTAAAACTCCTAATTTCTCAGTCCTTTTTTCTAAGGTCGCGTTTTCTTGTATCTATTCAGCCACATTTATCTTTCGCTTAACAGAAACACTAAAATTTGCCATTCTGCTCCTAAGCTACCTTCACCGTTTACCGTTTAGTTCTAAAGAAGCTGGTCATATACAGTGGGTGTACTGCTCAGCAGTTCGCTCCGTCCTTCTCTATGGCTCTGAAACATGGCCAATACGAGTTGAAGACATGAAAAGGTTGACTGCTTTCGATCATAGATGTCTGCGATCCCTGTCTGACGTTAGGTGGTTTAACAAGGTAAGTAATGTTGACGTTAGGCGTAGAGTGTTGGGCAAAGAGGGAAAATCAATCGACGAGGCTATAAACTTACACAGATTGAGATGGCTAGGTCACGTGCTGCGCATGCCTAACCATCGCCTCCACCGACGGGCATTACTAGCTGATATAGATAGGTGCAGGTTGGAAAAGAGCCAGTGGTGGCCAAACAAAAACATGGCCTCATCAATCCATGAAATCCTTGACAGTTAAACTGAGTCAGGTAGGGAGATGCAGACTCCCGGGTTGGGGCCCTCGGGACTCTAGGAATCAATGGCTGGAGACAATGGGTGACATGGCTCAAAATCGTTGTCAATGGCGCAGATGTATTCAGTCTCTGTAACCTTTCATATTCCTTTCTACCATCACCCATTCTGTTTCACTCGTATACTTGTTAAACTCTATTGATTCTCTTCACCCATCTTCTTATCTATCTTTGTGTGGTATTTGGAACGTGGCAACTCGAACTGCTGCACTTCGGTGTCAGGTTCTATGTTGAAGCCAGACAGGACAGATTTACAGTGGCCTCTGTTGTCTGAGGGTGAAAATCGCTTCTGCCATATCCAGTGCTTTATAGATGGCGACAGACCTCTACAAAGTAACAAAGATATTTACCAGTAACTGCTTGATCGAATCTTGTTTTAATATCGATGAAGTCGGAAAAGCACTTAATTTGCTGTCCTTTGGTATCTGTTTCATCAAAGGTGCTCACTTAGTGTTGTATGAGTATTACCAAAATGTGCCACAAAACACACGGAAGGGTGCTTCATCTCCGTCACACGCAACATGTTTGCAGTTATCAGGATTCGATCTTCCTTAGTAATAGAATTCATACCACTTACGTAATTAGATATGATAAATCTTAGGTTGTTCGCGAGAGTCAGTTGTATTGCTTTCACATCATTTGTAGTGCAAAATAGCTTTCAGATCCTATTGTTTAATCATCTTACAATGTAAATATTCTTACTGTTAAATAGTAGATCAGAAACTTTCGTCCCAACTGAAGTAATCATCATGTGATATGCCTACCACGTTGAATATATGTAAGTTGGAATGTGATATGATGTAGCATCCACTCCACAGCTTCAGGTGACTGAGTAGTAAGTACAGTCCTCATATAATGAGTGTGTCTAACAATTGTATATAACGGGTAACTGAATCCTCTCATTGAAGTTCTGTGTCTAGCAGATTGAGTTCAAAACCTAACTCCGAACAGAGAAATATTTTCACCTACCACCTTTGTATATGTTGTTTCTCATGACTACATTATTGTTTTTTTCACAATGGAGCAATAGTTAGGACATTGTTTATATAGAAGTCTACGCTATTAATTATTTCTACTTTGTGTCCTCCACTCAGTGTGATTCCTGTGAGTTTGAATTTGGAGAAATATACCAATATATTGAATTATTTTACGAAGACACTAGTTGTGTGTATGTCTTTGGTATGAATTTTCAATTTTACAAAGTGTCTGTGCATAGTTTGCAGTTTTAATATTCTTCAACATTTGTCTTTATTCATAATTTCTACTTATGTAACGCAGAGTTGTCTTATTGTTGAACGGTGCCATCCATTGAGCACTAGAATTTATCATTTAGGAAAACACTTCGTCACACATTTTTGAATTGGAATTTGCTTTTTACACTTTATTGTTTCTTGCAATTAATTGACTCCATCTAGGTGTCTCTATGGTTTCGCACACCATTGGTGATATGGCTCAAAATCGTTCTCAATGGCGCAGATGCATCCACTCCTTGTGACTTATAACACCCAATAAAACTATATTGTTCTTCGATATTACTATTCTTTTTGCCGCATATCTCTGTTTACTGTCACTATTTTGCATATCTTTTTTACTTTCTTTCTTTGCTTTGTGTGCTACATGGAGTGTGGTGACTTGAACTTCTGCATATCGGTGCAAAGTTCTATGTCAGAAACAGACAGACACATTCTCTCCAGAAGAAATGGCCTATTTCTGCTTTAGGAAGATGTGTTTTGCGTGTTGCTGGTGTTTAGCTACAAAAGTAACTTGTATTCAATCTAAAGTATCACTGTGTCGTACTTGTTTCTTAATATAACTTCATCTTTGCGACACTTAGTGCTGGGACAAATTAACCAAGTGCTGTTAAATCGCTTGAAATCATGCATCAGTTTACGATTAAACTTCCTTCATTATGTAAATAGGTAATAGTAATAATAATAACAGCTTTATTCCAAACAGTACTTTTATTACAAATGTGGAATTTTCAGTATGTAACTTCCACTATTCAAATTACCACTTAATCCTGTTGATTTCGCGGACCTATTTTCTTTACTCTAACCGTCCTACTGTTATTCGGGGTGCACGAATTGACAGGATCGGAGTAAATTACTGTTACGATTCGTCTTGCATTTAGAATGTTAAGGACCTAGGTTGGCCTTGATATACAATCCATATTATAAGGCATTTGATGTACTGAATTTACTGTGATACCTTGTAAGTAGTTTCCTATTTGTTAATGATAATCATCCTCTTTGTGTTTGATTTTGTTTGGTAAGGTTTATTTTGGCTTTTTTTTACAGTCGAAGAAATTGGTTTTTACTTGCCCAGTTGCATGGCAGCTGCATGCATTCTCTATGCGCTTAATTTAACGGTACATCGTGATTTGAGTGATGCTGCTGTCCGATCAGTAACTCGCATTCAAAAAGTTTTGAGACTTGAAGCGGTAAGTTATTTCCAGCTTATAATGAGGCATTATTATGCGTGCATTCTGAATTAGTAATGCATATATTAATCTACTTATTGTCTGAGTTTAACTTAGTATAGTTACCTAACACTAATATATTGAATAGTCTCAGACTGTAAAGACATGTGTGGTGCTATACCGTTTTCCGTAGTTAAAAAACGTAAATCCGTGAGTGTTTTAGGTGCCTCTTCATAGTGGTCAAATTTCACTAAACATGGCATCATTTTGCACCATTCTTCGTCTACACAGTATAACTGGCTAAGTTATCAATGTCAGCAACTTGACTTCTGTATTTTCCAGACGTTTATTTAAAAATAACGCCCTAAATATTGCTCACTAAATTCGGGTAAAATGCATCAAATGTTGTGCATCTTCTTTTGAATGGCATCATGTGAACGACACTGCAATCGATGTCAGACGTAACTGTTCATGTATGAGTAAAAACTAGCCAATAAGAAGACGGGATCCAGCGGTATTTTTGTCCTGTCATGCTACCGAATTACTTTCATATAACTAGCGATGTTTTGGTCTCATGGATTAGCGCGTTATCCTGACTGTATCCTATGTAGTTTTGATTGTCTCATTTCCTTGCTAACCCCCCTACTTTGTAACAGTTCAATTCCTCATGTTCGAGAGATTCTCGAAATTTTCAGAAACTGCTTGTGTATTGTGTTGGAGTCCGTCAAGTCTCAGTTGGCTACAGAAAATCAGGGAGAGAGTTTAAGGCCATTTATGAAGGTGGTGGGAATTTCTAAATAAGAAGGCTGTCGTGGTTTTCTCACCCACCTTTGGTTATGTTAAAAACCATCGTAATACCATCACTACTGTCACAATTGTGCGTCTTTAAAAATTCCTTTCAAATTTCAAAGGTCTGTACTAGTAACACTTCGTAATTCGTAGGTGATTTACCTAAAACAGTTTTTACAGTTCATCCTGTTGACGGTTTTCCTTACTCTATTTCCAACCTTTTCAATTACAGAGAAAAATACGTGAAGCATATCAAGTCCTTCAAGCTTGCTTTGAACCTGGAACAGTGCAACTATCTAAAGCTGTATTAGATGGTGATGTCGAACCTTCGGATAGCCCTGTTCGAGAGGCGTCAGACCATTTAGCTAATCAATCGCTTCCTTCTGCCACGACATCAGTTAGTGCAACTGTACTACAACCTGTGACAAATGTGGTATATACTCATTCACATCTTGATGTTTCGAATCAGTCTTCCACCGACATCCCTTCGTTATCTAATTCTATGGTTTGTGCAAATAACGGTGTCAGTTTCGATCGTAGCTGCAAACATACCGCTTCTGCTTCTCTTTCAGCATGCTCTACATCTTCCCCTCCATCAGAAGCTGAGACTTTGGGGTTAAATGAGCTGGAAAGCGAGAACTCTCGGTGTGCATACAGCAATCGATCCCGGTTATCCATGCCCTTGATACACTATTCTCAAAAACCTCAGTTTTTTCATCAAACCGATGAGAATGCTACTGTGAACTTGAGTGAACGTAAACTTGTCCCAATAGCTTCGAAGAATTCAGTGTCAAATCGGACAAGTAAATATAAATAAGGATTATTCAATGTAAAATTTTATTCTACTTAAGAAAAAATATTCAGTCAGCTGTATTTATTATTTTTTTTATTTTTTTCTTTGTAATTTATTTCTGCCAAATCATTGCTTGCTACTTTTAAATCCATCTAAGACCAATTTTTCCACTAATCATTTTTCAATTAATTTTAATTACTCTGACACGGTGTGTCCGCTATAAAGTTTTTACCAACAAACAGCTTTTCTTTTCATTTTATTTGAATCATGCTTATTTTCAGTAGCTATTTCATGATAACCATTGTACAATTTCGGTCCTCGTAGTATCCTCAACAGCCTCCTTTTACCTAATAACATGATTAATAATAATGGTAATAACAAATTGTGATAAAGAAAGGAAGACGAAATTTGCGATATAAAATGATATCATTCTATTTCACACGTTCTCATCAGCTGCAGACTACCTGAAATTACAATGGTTATATATATGATAATAATACTTTAATGTTATTAATTGTACTTTTATTACTATACTTTAATTGCAATGCTTTCATTTTGGATGAGTCAATTTTATAATGTCTCTTCTTTACTACCACTCAAATATTAATTTGAGTGGTATGTTATCATCTATATAACCATTGTAATTTCAGGTGGTCTGCAGCTGATGAGAATCTGTGGAATAGAATGATATCATTTTATACTGCAAACTTCGTCTTCCTTTCTTTATCGAAATATATCAAGGTAACCAAATGTATGAAACAGCAAATTGCTTTATTCTTAAAAACATGTTTATGCACAGTACAGTGTTTATATCCACCACTACAAAATGTGTAGCGTTTCATTTGGTGGAATATTTTTCTGAAAAATACTCCAACCACCGGCTGGTTTAATCCATAAACGATATACGAAAATCCATTCAAAAATACATGTGATTTTATATTGTACTCGAAAAGGTGCGGTTAGATTGTTCAAATCGTTCATTTTCTGCCCGAGCTTGGAGCACTTTACTTCTCAACGCGTGACTTATCATACTGATTTTGTGATTCCTGACCATTTAATTGATTTCGGAGCTCTCGCTTTTATTTTCTGACTATATATGTGTATGTTTAAAGGAATATAAAGTCAACCTATTCACCATGGTTATTCCTGTGGCAGTCAGGAGCAGCTTCAAGTATTAGCTGATAACTCAACTGATAGCTGACTACGTGCCATTGTAACTTGCAGATGCCTACGGAAGTCGCCTAATTTAAACTGGAGTTAAAGTCAACAATTCCGTCATTGTTGTTACAGCTACGTCGGTGGCACAGTGGCTAAGACTCGCAAGCCATGCGCATGGTCCGAGGTTCGATCCCCTGCCGACGCACACCTAATATCTATGGTCGGCCTGCGAAATTTGGGCCACCGATATCCATGCTGAAAATTTCATACTTGTACCAAAAATACAGTGTGGAATCAAGCTGTAATCAAAAATAATTTTTAAAAAATACATTCAATCAAAATGTATATATATTCCTAATATGTTGTAAGGGCATGCTGAGATATTTACGCACTGCATCAATGTTTACAAGTAACTAGATAAAATAACACGTTAAACTTTTTATTTGGTAGAATCATGCAAAAATGAAGTAATTTCTGTATATTTTTGTCCAAAACTGAAAGCGTTCAGTGAATGTGTTTCCTTTTCCCCGACCGATAGCTGGTACCTTGGCGTGGTGGTCAGCCTTGCTCATCGCAATGACCCAACAAGCTACACTGACTGGGACTATTTTTCCTGCAGGTCCAACCATGCCAGGAAGGTTGTTACGATAGCGAATAAACTAAAAGCAGTTACCGGCTTAGTGTAAGAACTTATTTTAGTACACTATGCTGGGGGTCTGTGGGCGAAGTCGTACTGCTGGGGAACAGGGACGTAACATTAGTTAGGTGCTTTCTTCAGATGGCCAGCTATGTTGTCTCTCCACTCTGGGGAGAGGGGATTACAAAAGGTCTACCCCAAAAACTACATCCTGACTTACCCTACGGTGGTCCGTAACCAGCAGTAAGTTTACTAGTACGGAACTAGATCATACAGACCGTGTGTTACCGGCCACAAGTAGTTGTCCCCTGGGCTTTGTGTCACGCAACACTAACCCTCTTTCTGCTTCAGGTACACAAGGGATCAATCAACTTCCGTTGTGTGGGCAGCCGGGAAGTGACAACCACCCACACACACTTGCAAAAGCATCATTCACTTTGACCTTGATTATCTTGCTGCCCTAGTACAGTTGTAACGACAGAAGGCAAGAGTCAGGCAACAGATCGACTATTAAGGAAATCAGCACATATTTGTAGATTTTCATGTACATTATTATAGATTATCGTTACCTGACAAACACAGACTTCTGATTGGTTGTTTCCCACTAGAAGTTAATCTTTCATCTCTTTGTGGCTGTTTCATGGATATCAGATAATCTGTCTGCTAATATTTGGGAGATAAACATTGACGAAAATTACTGTCTACCAATTTGGCTAGCAGCCATCTCTCACCACGCTCGTCCCCCCATCAAACAGCTTCGCGCGCAGGCGTTCCAACCTTCTGGATGATACATCCTCTAGTTGATGATTGTTGCGGACCGGCGTTAACTCGTTTTTGTTTGTCACCTCTTCCGCTGTTATATACTTGATCCCGCCTTTTTGTGATTGCGTATGGTCCTTCCCACTTTGGAAGGAGTTTTCGTGAACCTGGCCCACATCCAATTGCATGTCTTCTGTTTCTACACTTCACTTGGTCCCCGACTGCAAAGGTAATGCACTTCGCGACATCACTCCGCTGCTTCTGCATTACATTCTTGACTGCCTCTTTCCGCTGTGCTTTTAGTTTCGTCGTACTCCACTTTTAGTGAAGGGGCCAGGTCTCCTTGTGTATCGGTAATCGTGGTTTTCTACCATACATCAGTTGGAAAGGTGACTTCTTCGTTGTTTCCTGGGTGGTAGCATGATGTGTTAGTAGAATCAGTGGAAGCTCCGTTTCCCAGTTACTGCCCCTCGAGGCCAACCACTCCTTCAGTGTACGGTTGTTTCTCTCCTTCAGGCCATTCGTTTGTGGATGATATGGGGTCGTTCTGATCCCCTTGATGCCCAGCTGTTGCAAACGGGAAGTAAATTCTTCACTCCCGAAACAGGGACTTTGGTCTATCAGTATTGTCTTTGGTACGCCGTGGTCCGCAGCGGTGTGTCTAACTACTGCATCTGTCACGGTCCTTGCACGTTGGTCTGGGATTGCTATGGCATCTACCCATCGTGTCGCGTGTTCCGCCATCACCAAAAGGTACTGATTACCATTGGATGTCTGAGGAAATGGACCCATGACATCTACGGACCACAAGTCACCTATCGCCGTAACTGGAATCGACTGAGGCGATGGTCGTATGCACCGGTCGCCTTTCATTAGCTTGTACCGTGGACATCCAAGTACGTATCTTGCTACGTCTTCTCTCATACCTGACCAGTACATGCTTTGTCTTAAGAGGTCGGTTGTTCTGGCCACGCCTCTATGTTATGGTTGTGAGACCTGGCCACTCAGAGTGGAAGACATGAAAAGACTAGCTGTCTTTGATCATAGGTGCCTGCGTTCTATTTCCCGTGTAAAGTGGCATAATAAGGTGAGCAACATTGAGGTTAGGCGTAGAGTTCTAGGTAAACAGGGGAAATCAATCGACGAAGTCGTGAAGCTACATCGACTGAGATGGTTAGGACATGTGTTTCGTATGCCAAGTCATCGCCTCCCTCGACGAGCAATGTTAGCGGATATAGGGTCAGGCTGGAAAAAAGCTAGCGGCGGTCAAACAAAAACTTGGCATCAGTCAATGAAATCCACAACAGTTGGTCTAAGCCACGTAGAAAGGTGTAGACTTCCAGGCTGGGGTCCTCGGGACGGTAAAAATCTATGGTTGGAAACAATTGGTGACATGGCTCAAAATCGTTCTCAGTGGCGCAGATGCATCCACTCCCTGTGACTTATGATCTTCAATGAAACTGTTTTGTATTTCTTTATTACTCCTTTGTCTCACACCTCTGCTCACTGTTTCTATTATGCTTTTCTTGTACTTTCTTCTCTTGCTTTGCGTGCTACACGGAATGTGGCGACTTGAACTGGCGCACATTTGTGCAAAGTTCTATGTCGAAAACAGACAGACGCCTATATGTGCTAGATGGTGACATTCTTCTATCATGTCGTGGCGCGACGATTGAGGTATGACAGCCAGCCAGCTTCCATCGTTTTCTCGCTAGGTCAGAGTCCCGTAGGCATTCACTCTTAGTCGATCTCTCTGTCTGAGTAGTGTGGTTAGCTGCTTACTCGCTGTAGTTTGATTCACTTCTATTCCGTTGGTGATCACCTGTATTACTGTATTCAGCGTATCGTCCAACCGTTGCCTGCATGCAATTCTTAGTGGGTCTTGTTCTACTGCATGCACTCCGTAAGCGACCTCGGGCAGCTCAGACTCGTCTTCTGGTCTCGATAACAAATCTGCCAAGACATTTTCACGAACGACTGAGATCGTAAAATCGTACTCTTGAAGACGCAGCATCACCGTGACAATTTCCCCCGTGGGTCTCTTGCTGTCCTCAAAAACTGTAGTGGCTTATGATCAGTTTCGATGTGGAACCGCCGGCCGAGTAAATAAGGTTTCCATTTGTCGATCGCCCATACCATTGCTAGACATTCTTTCTCTATCGTTGAATACTTTGCTCTGTGTCAAAACCCGACTGGCATACTCAACGATCCCCTCACCCTGTTTTAAGACTGCGCCTATAGCGTAGTCACTGGCATCTGTGCACACTGTGAACTGTCTTCCAGGTACAGGTACTTTTAGTGTCATTTGTTGGTGGTCGAGCAGCTGTTTAATTCTGTGGAATGTCCTCTGCTATTCCTCCGACTAAACTTCGGCTCACCTAGTATCCTGTACAGAGGGGCTGCCATCTCGTTGGAGTCCTTCACGAGCTGACTATAAAACGCTGCTCTACCCAAGAATTGTCTCAATTTTCTCTTTGAATTCGGGGCCGGGATAGTCTTTATCGTCAAGGTTTCCTCCAGTAGTCGTTCAATCTCACCATTTCCCACTTTATGTCCCGAAAGAGTAACATTCTTTTTGGCTATCGGAGACTTGGTTTTTTTGACGCGCAGTCCAAACTCTTTAATGCGTCGCAGCACGGCTACTACATGGTTCACAAGATCGTTTTCGTTTTGACTATATATGACGAGATCATGACCGTACACCTCCACGTTTTTCAAGTTCTTAACTAATAGAGTCATCAGTCGTCTGAACGTAAACGGTTCACCTGCTAGTCCAAACGGCATGCGTTTAAATCGATATTGTGTCTGACCCACGATGAATGCCGTCTTATCTCTCTCACCTGGTTTTATCTGTATCTGCCAGTATCCTGAGCGAAGATCGAGAATCGAAAACTAATTCGCGATTTGTAGGCGATCTGAAATGTCTACTACTGTTGGCATGGTACACGGTCTTAACTCTTTCATGCTGCTTGACTGTAGACAATCAACGCAGAATCTATACTTCCCATTCGCTTTTTTTACTAACAGCACTGGAGAGTTGTACGGACTATCACTTCAATAAATTCATCTTTTAACATATCTCGCACTTGTCGCTCTACTTCGCCTTCCAAATGACATGGAACTCTTCGCGTTATAAATGACGTTACTTTCGGACCACTTAACGGAATTTCATGATCCACCTTGTCGCAATAACCGTATGGGTCCCCATGTCCGTATTTCGTTATCACAACGTTCGCTTGCGTGTCGATTATCGCACCAATCTCCCGCAGAAAATCCACCCCAAATATCGTTCGCTGTAATTCGGGGACAGCAATGAAGGGAAACGTTACCTCGCAGCTGCCAACAACGACCGTACAGTTCGATTTGCCCGTGATGCGTAACACGTGCCCGCCTAGCGTGTGTACTGCCAATGAACGTGGGCTGACACTCTTACATAAGTTCTTATTGATAGGATCCCACATATTTTGGTATTGACTGTTTAAACTTGCATATATGGTATGTTATCATTCTCACACATTTTGGTATTGACTGCTAATTTTGTATATTATCATTCTCACGCATTTTGGTAGTGACTGCTAATTTTGTATATATGGTATATTATCATTCCCACACATTTTGTTACTGACTGTCAACCTCGCACATATGGTATATTATCATCTCTCACGCACTTTGTTATTGGCTATTAAGATAAATTATTTCAAATGCTGCTAGCTGTCCATATTGTTGTAAAATGTATAAATACCATGGCTTTCTTTATCGTTGTTGCACT